TCACATCTGGCTGCGGGCAGGGGGGCAGGGTTGGGGGGCCCCGACGCGCCGTCACAGACCCCTGCCTGGAAGTTTTTAATGTCCAGCCTAAACCTCCCTTGCTGCAGTTCAAGCCCCTTGCTTCCTGTCCTAGCCTCAGAGGCCAAGGAGAACAATGTTTCTCCCTCCTCCCCGTGACACCCTTTTAGATACTTGAAAACCGCTCTCATGTCCCCTCTCCGTCTGCTCCTTTCCAAACTCAACAAGCCCCGTCCTTTGGCCTCCCTCCCAGGTTTTTAATGTCCAGCCTAAACCTCCCTTGCTGCAGTTCAAGCCCCTTGCTTCCTGTCCTAGCCTCAGAGGCCAAGGAGAACAATGTTTCTCCCTCCTCCCCGTGACACCCTTTTAGATACTTGAAAACCGCTCTCATGTCCCCTCTCCGTCTGCTCCTTTCCAAACTCAACAAGCCCCGTCCTTTGGCCTCCCTCCCAGCTCATGTTCTCTCGACCTTTCATCATTCTTGTTACTCGTCTCCGGACCTTCCCCAATTTCTCCACATCTCTCTCAAAATGTGGTGCCGGGAACAGGACACGCTCCTCCACCTGAGGCCAAACCAGCACAGAGTGGGGCAGGAGAATGACGCCACGTGTCTTGCTCACAACACACCTGTTCATGGAGCCCAGACTCACAAGAAGAGGGATAGCTCAGTGGTTTGAGCATTGGCCTGCTAAACCCAGTGTTGTGAGTTCAAACCTTGAGAGGGCCAATTAGGGATCTGGGATAAATCTGTCAGGGATGGTATTTGGTCCTGCTGTGAGAGCAGGGGGCTGGACTAGATGATCTTGCAAGGTCCCTTCCAGCTCCATGAGATATTTATGTTGGCTTTTTTTGCAACAGTATTACACTGTTGGCTCATATTTCACTTGTGGTCCACTCTGACCCCTAGGGGTCTAAACTACATGGCTCCATCGACGGAGCTATGTAGATTTGTTTGTTTGGCAAAGGGAAATGAAGCCGCGATTTAAATAATCACGGCTTCATTTAAATTTACATGGCTGCCGCGCTGAGCCGACAAACAGCTGATCAGCTGTTTGTCGGCTCAGCGCGCTAGTCTGGACGCTCCCCTGGAGCCGACAAACAGATGATCAGCTGTTTGTCAGCTCAGCACGGCAGCCATTTAAATTTAAATGAAGCCGCGATCATTTAAATCGCGGCTTCATTTCCCTTTGCCGATCAGCCTAATCTACATGGCTCCGTCGATGGAGTCATGTAGTTTAGACACAGCCCTAGATCCCTTTCTGCCGGACTCCTTCCCAGACAGTCGCTGCCCATTGTGTGTGTGAAACTGACTGTTCCTTCCTAAGCGGAGCACTTGGCATTTCTCCTTATTAAACTTCATCCTGTTGACCTCAGACTATTTCTCCAGCTTGGCCAGATGGTTTGAATTCTGACCCTCTCCTCCAGAGCAGGCGCAACCCCTCCCGGCTTGGGATCATCTGCAGACTTAATAAGCGTCCTCTCCATGCCAGTCTCTAAATGGTTGATGAAGATACTGAACCGAACCGGCCCCTGCGGAGCCCCGCTTGCTCTGCCCTTCCCGCAGGCTTGTGAACCGTTAATAGCGACTCTCGAGAACGGTTCTCCAGCCGGCGATGCACCCGCCTTACGGCAGCCCCTTCTCGGTTGTATTTCCCTAGGTTGTTGATGAGAAGGCCCTGAGACTGTATCAAATGCCTGCCTGAAGTGGAGGTCCCACGCCCACCACTTCCCCCCAAGCTGCCTTCCATGCAGCTGTGCTTAGTACCAGCACCTGGATGGGGTTGCTGCTGGGCACTAGCAAGGCCCCGAGAGGGGGTCCCAGAGTCCCAGGCAGGGCCCCGGGGGGATCCCGTCACCGCAGCCTTTGAGTTTCATTGCCCACGTACGACTGGACAGGCCTGAGGGCCACGTTGCATCCCACGCTCCGTGCAGGGAAACTCCCTGCCCCGCCATCCAGCCCCTCCGTGCCCCGACTCTCCTACCCTCGCATGCCCCCGCCGCAGCCTGCCCAAGCCTCTGCCCCGGGCAGGCCCATCCGCCCCCCAGCCCGCTGCAGCCCCAGCCACGGGGGCCCAGCTCTCCCCCCGTGTCAGCGTCACAGGGAGCCCACAGTGGGGGGAGGGCTTTGGTTTGGAGGGAAAACCAAAGGGCAGGACTTCAGAAGAGCCAAAGCCTGGCATCAGGGACTTGGAAGAGAAGGACGCCGGGGACTGGGCCTGGCGCCCCACACAGGAGGGTGCCCCCAGTGGCACCTGGC